CCAATAATTCCAATTTATCATTGCTATTAGAAAATAGCCGCGATGCTCTAATAAATGGCAACAACGCTAGAAAACTATATATTCCCATACATCCTCCAACATCAGAGACTAGTCAAATGCTTATTTTGAGATTTTTAACTGCTATGGGAGAGTATCAGGACTTACTTGGTTTGGTTTTTGAGAACAATACCTTACAGCTTATAAATGGTTTCATAACAAACATTGACAGAGGAGATACTAGACTGGCATTTGAAGCATTGAAGTACCTGGCGTCGCTTTTGGTACATAAAAAATTTGCGTTACTATTTATTCATTGGGGTGGCTTGGAGGTAATGCCTTGAATTTGTAATTGAAAACTGTATGTATACAATTGAATTTTCATTCAATTGAATTTCTTTTCAGCATTTACTTAAAGTGCCGCATTCCAGCCTGGCATCTACAGGTGTTGCCATTTGTCTCTATTATTTGGCATATTCTGAAGATGCCATGGAGCGTATTTGCACTATGCCAAAGTCCCTTATTAAAGAATTAGTTTCATATGGCTTGTGGCTACTGGTGCGTTCTTATGATTCCGGAAAATGTCATGCTACAATGTTTTTCGGCTTAAGTTTCCAGTTCAAAGTCATACTTGATGAATTCGATAACCAGGATGGATTGCGAAAATTATATAATGTGGTATGTGCACAAATAGTTCATTTAGAAATAGCTTGTTTATCTTAATTTTTCGTAGACCGCGATTATGAAAATACTTAATCCTACTAGCAGTGAAGACAACACAGAAACTAACGAGGATGTAGAATGTGCGTCAAGACAGCTGGTGCGTCATGTATGTGTCGCATTAAAACGTTACATGGAAAGTCATCTGTTTTACAAATTCAATGACTACATGCGTTCGCAGTGCCCGACATCGACTAACTTTTCCAAAATTATTACAAAAGCAACCAAAGCGAATTTGGAGCAAATTAATGAACAAGTGCGAATTTTACAAGAACAAATCACTTTGCGTATGTTCTGGAAACCAGTAGACCAACTGTTGCGATTAGGGGGTGTAAAATTACTATTAAACATAATTGCTTTGTCGTATGACTGGACGAACAGCGGAAAGTACGTATGCTTGTTTATAAATATGTTTGTATGCTATTAATAACTTAACAAATTACTTATATTTAAAATATTTAGAGCGGAAACAATGCGTTCAGCGCTCGACGTACTATCGATATGCTGCGTAATGCCACAAGTATATCAGGCGCTTTGCAATCGGTTAGAGATTCCAGACAATACGATATCATCCGGGATGTCAGCAATACTAGGTTGTGCTGCTGGTGAAATTGCAGATGGTGAGGTGCAAAAATCCGCTCTAGCAGTGGTTTGCAATTGTGTTTGTTCACCACTTATGAAGGTTAGTTTTTATAATTTGGAAGAAAGCTTGAACCACTAGTTCAAAGCCTTAGCGCTTTATATTTATTTTTATTCATATATGACACTTACGAAAATAATTGCTTACAAACCAAATTTTTTCCATTTTAGAAAGAACTAAATACAAATAGATGTTTAAAGGAACCTTCAACTACCAAGGCTTGGAACGCAACGAGACGTATGCGAAATACAAAATACATTGAAGATTTGGTACAAAAAGCTTGGGAATCTGTCTGCTGTAATAGTGGTATTATTGTGCTGTTGATGTTGGTACAAGTTAAAGCACCAATAACGGACGCTGATTGCATACGCGGTATGGCGTGCAGAGCATTAGCGGGCCTGGCACGTTCAGAACGTGTACGTCAGATAATTGGAAAACTACCGCTCTTTGCTAGTGGGCAAATTCAAACACTAATGCGAGATCCTATTTTACAAGAAAAACGTGCTGAGCATGTGATATTTCAAAAATATGCGTTGGAGTTATTAGAACGTGTCTCGGGTAAAGCAAAACCAACTAACAATCAACTAGATCCTTCACTAGCCAATATACACAAAGCAAATGTTATAGCCCAGACAAAAATACAATATAATGAACAGCAATTGCTGCAATTAATATGTGAGCACTTAGATTCGAAAGGCTTAACCCAATCTGCACAGGCTTTGCAAAGGGAAGCTGGCTTGCCTTCACCAATCGTTACTACAAAATTCTTTCATCAGTCACCATTCGACTATAAAGCGATGTCTTCTTCGTCCATGGGTAGAATACGTTTACGAAATCGGATGCAAGACGTCCAAGCAGCCATTTTGTATTGTTCAAATGACCAAATTAATGAGGAACCAAGTGCAAATAACTCACTAACTGCAACCCCCATAAAACTTGTTAAGAAAGGAGAAAAAGCACATAACACAAGTATAACAAATTTGAATACATCGAATGTATCCTCACAGCGTTCACTTCAGAAGCAAATTACCTCCTATTACCACGATAACACGTTGCAAGACACTGATGGTATACCTAAGATCAACAGCATAAGTCTTAATACTATTGTTACGGAATATTTAACTAACCAGCATGCACTGTGTAATAATCCAATGACAACATGCCCACAATTCGATCTGTTTACTCCGCATAAATGTCCCGATCCGAAACCAAGTCGTGTACTAAACAGTCTTCATAACTTGACCGCCCGTGTATTTAGAGCACAATCCGGTTATAATACAGCTACTTTGGATCGACGTTATGTTCATACAAACATCGCACCATGGCATAGCATACGTTCCAACGATTACAATGAAACGCAATTCTCCTGTTGCTCCTTCCTGCCAAATTCAAATCTAATACTTTGTGGTACACAGCAAGGCGATATCAAAGCTTACAACGTCAACGATTGCACCGAAGTGTTCACATTTGACTGCTGCAGCGACTGCATCGATGTTATAAATGCCAATCGCAGAGGTAATTTAATACTTACCTCATGCTCTTGGCGTACGTCCATGAGCATACTTTGGTCTTTAAAAAATAATGAAGTGATGCACGAACTTGACTTTCCTGAAGACACGTATTGTGAATTCAGTAGTCTTGCACAGGATAAAGTACTGGGTACAATGGCTGAGGTAAATACAATATTATTTCTAATGTTTGAAAATTGCAGATTTTAATTCGAATAAATATTTTAGATTGCACATCTTTATGACCTTCCAACTGGAAAAATAATAAGTACATTTAAGCCTTCAATATCGAATCAGTATTCGAAAAATCGTGCTACATTTCATCCCACCGAAGAGATAGTATTATCAGGTAATTCAAAAGCTCGATTGAGAGTATTTTTTATTTGCATTTATTTTTTAAGATGGAGTACTTTGGGACATAAGGGTACATAAGGAAATTCATAAATTTGATAAATTAAATCAAACACTTTCTGGGGTATTCCATCCAAATGGCTTAGAGGTTTGCATGTTTTATTTTATTAAATTAAAAATAAATATATCAATCGATTTTGTTTGTTAGATAATTTCCAACACTGAAATTTGGGATATGCGTTCTTATCATCTGTTACAAACAGTGCCTGTACTCAATCAGTGTTTCGTGAAATTCTCACCAATGAATGTACTTTACGGCTACAGCTTTGACAATGAGACTCGCCACGATTTTGATGAGAATAATACGTATGATACAAGCTTTAAAGTCCTCGACCTCTATGACTACACCAGTATAACAACAATTGATGTGAAGCGTTACATACAAGATATGAGCATACACCATAATGGTTGCACTTTGGGGACAGTCGAGCACCATATGGGTTACGATTCAAAGCAGGAGACATATGTTAAAATGTACTCCGTCGGCATGAAAAGATTTGATCATGAGGATGAGGTGCGTGCTGGTTCAGCTAACATTAACTCACATCGTGACACACTAAGCCCTGATAGTAATTTATATATGGTGAATTCCTTATGAATTCGCTTATTAGAAGGGCTACCACTACGGCAGTGTTGTTGTAGTCGGTAAGATTGCTGCGATGCGCCTAGATGGTGCTGGTAATATTCAAATCCATGTACATCGTTATATATATAATAGTTAATTATGTATACAGACAACGCTAATATAGACGCTGTAGCAGCAATCGTCACAGTCAAAACTAATTTTCGTGCAATCTCAAATAATTTAATCTTTATGATTACAGGAAGATGAAGAGGATCAAGACAGTGATGAAGACGCAAGTGAGACAGATTCAAATGATCCAAGTAAGTTTAAAAAAAATTATTTTATATGAGTTTAGTCTCTGTCTAAGGTATGACCGACGTTGATTCAACTAGCTAGAGAGTTACTTTCCAGAGAATCTCAGTCCAATCTCTCCTTAACACCCATTTAAATTCTTTATAGTAGCCTAACGAACCCTTTGGCTTAAGTGTGTTTTTAATATGTAAACTTGTATGCAATGCTTAAGAGATGAATTTAAAAAAAATATGTAATAGGTGTAGTAAATAGAAATTCATTAATTTTGTATGAAATTGAAAGCTTATTTACCATATCTACAATGATCCGATTTAGGTTCATTCTTGTTCGTTAATCGGTTGCCATTTTGAAGTTAATTTCATGACCTCTGTGCCTCTCTCATAGAAGTACTCGGCCCAATTGGCAAAAAATTGACACAGTCAAATTTTACAAGCCTCTCTTAATGCGAATTTTTTACCAGAAAAATCGTTCACCATGGACAGGAATAGATAGATTATAAGGTGGATGCATAACAACTTCCCAACCAAAATCCACTCCCGGAGTTTTTGGCGAGTCATTATCGATGTGTGTAGCCTGGAACACAATTCTCCTCCCATTGCCCAAAGCTGACCATTTCTGGGCAATTGCTTTTTTCAAACGGTCCAATTATTGACAGTACAGTTCTGAGTTAAGAGTTTTGCCATAGGGGAGCAGCTCATAGTAGATGACTCCCTGCCAATCCCAACAAACACACTGCAAAAGCTTTCTGACCATCAATCCCGACCATTTCGGCCAGCTTACCGCGATCATATAAAGTTAATTATATTCTGGTTATTATTATTATTACCTGAATAAATCTGTTGTTAATAGCCTTAATCCTTAGGACTGTATATTTAGGCTTTTTATAAATTTTAGCACAGTTTGAGCTCTATTGTTCCATAATTTATTTGAACGTATAACAATACCACCTTAGTGATAAAGCCTTTGTCTATCAAGAGCAAGAGATCTACTTAGAATATTAAACCCATATTAGCTTCGATTTTGTACAATATAACAAGTGAAAAAAATTTCCTGATAGTAATAACTTTTTTTCTTCTTTTAGTTGTTGAAGTTCGACCAGATGGAGTTTATTTCAGAAGACGCACAAGACGGCGAAATCGACGTAACATAAATTTTCATAATGTTGTTCCAGATGGTGAAGCACAAGAAGATGATGATGATGATGATGACGACGATGATGAAGACGATGACATTGATGACGAGGATGTGATAAATTTATTTGAAAATATGGAAACGGATTCGGATAATAATGAAGGTAAACTAATAATTGAGTATAATAATTGATTTAGAAAAGAAAACAAAACTTTATGATTACAGATGGCGAACAAGAGGAGGGTGGATCAGATGAAGTTGAACTGAATAGTGATCCCGACAGTACGTCGTCGGAAAATGAATTCGATGAATCTCGTTTTAGACTTGCGTAAAAAAAGTTGTGTAACTATTCTTTAGAAAAATTAAACAAAAATTAAAATTGGCACAGCTAATAAATCTTTAATTTAAGTAAATTGAATAGTAGTATATAGAGCAAATATGCAATTGCAAAAGTATCGAACATCGGTAAATGTAAATTATTGTATTTCAATAGATTAATTTATATATATAATGTTTCTATGTTTATTTTATAATGTTCAAGTAAAAATATATGTGTAAAACGCAGTAAATAAAGTTTATATATTTGTAAAATACTGATTTTAGTATTGTGAATGCCTTCTACGTTGTAGCTCTAGAAAATGTTATACATCATACACAACTTTTT